TCTAGACAACTCCCAAAACCCTCTAGCCCAACGTGCTTTATCTCATTGTATTTCATCCTTGATTATTCCTTGCTCCCCAGACCCAGACATGTCTGGGGTTGTACTTGAAGTCCATTACCTTCCCCTAGGTGATGCCAGTCTGAACAGTGGTGAATCTGGCGAAGAATCATGTACTTGACTTTGCCTGCCCTGGAACCAGATAACGGGGACACAATCTTCTCTGTGTCCCCCCCCCCCACATGTTGGGGAGACTGCTGGGGTCTCAGTATCAGAAAACTCCAAACTGCACCAGTTGAATGACTTTGGGGAAATGGCTTATGTCCCCTGGGGAAAGCTAACTTCCCTTTCTTTGAGAAGAGGGAACCTCTACTGAAGAAAAGGCCTGCATAAGATCCAGCTGTCAGGCATTTTCTTGATTAGTGATCAATGGGGCAGGTCCCAGACCATTGTGGGTAGTGTCATCCTTGGGTTGGTGGTCCCGAGTGCTATTAGAAAGTAGGCTGAGCTAGCCATGGAAAGCAAGCCAGTAAGCAGCACCCCTCCATGGCCTCTGCATCAGCTACTGCCTCCAGGTTCCTGTCCTGTTTGAGTTCCTGTCCTGACCTCCTTCAGTGATGAGCAATGCTGGGGAAGTGTAAGCCGGACATGCCTTGGTCATAGTGTTTCATCACAGCAGTAGTGACCCTGACTAAGCCACAGAGGCTGCCTGGGCCAGGGTTACTCAGCTGGTAAACAGTGGGGTTAGAACTCCAACTTGGTTTTGTTCGCTGAAAGTCTTAAGTTCTTATTAAGAGCACCATGCTTTATATAATTACAGCAGCCTATTAAGTTAACAATTATTTCCCTCAGCCCAGGAGTATTCTTGAGGGAGTGAAGTTTTGAGGAGTAGGGAGGGTTGCATGTGGGGAGACTGTGGGAAAATGAGGAGAAGAAAAGAAAGAGGGCTTGAGGGAAGGGCTAAGTTTAGGATCACAGGAGACTCATTGAGAAGCATGCTGCTGGTTCAGCGGCCTGGGTCTCTAGGCAGCCATCGGCTTCTCCATCAATGGTTTTCATCAGGAGACCAATGAACCAATATTTACTTGGGGATTTAGAAACAGATGCCTAAGGTTTACTGTTAGAGGGCACTTAACAAAACAACCATTTTCTCTGGCCGTAGAACCCCAGCCCTCCAGCCCCAGGAGGTTGGTGATGTTCTTTGGAGAGTTTGTGGGAGCTTAAGCAGTTTTTAGCACTTTGTCAAGTTAATACAGAGGAGGGTTGGGGTCGGGGGGCGGGGGACCATGACAGGCTTGAGTGGGACTGTCCTCAACTGATGAGCCATTTCCCCAAAGGGTTACTTCACCTGGCTTTGGTTTCCTGTATCACTTCCCATCCTCATGAAGATGATCTCCATCCTCTACCCTTCTCTGATGTGCCCTGATCCTCAGCAGGTGCCAAGGCGACACACACTTTACTAATTAGGAAACCTGGACTTTAAGAGATGCTACATCTGCCAGGTCCCGGAAGCAGGTTTGGTTTGGCATGTCACCATCTATTGTGACCTTCCTACTTCCCTTCTGGTACCTTTGCCCCTGTAAAAAGGATCAATATGCGGTTAGCATGCATCTTCACAAAGAACGACATTGTTAGTGAGGTCACTTCTGAAGACCTCATAGCTGGGGCTCCGGGTTCATGCAGGCAGGTCCCTAGTGATGCTTTTAGTTCCTTGTCCTCACTAACTTCTCTGTTCTCTGAAGGACTGCTTTGTAGCAGGTGACAATGATGGTTTGGATATGGAGTATACCACACCCCGCCATGAGTTCAAGGCTTAGCCTCCTGCTTCACTGATAAATGACTGTAGCATGAAGGTTCTGACCTAATCGGTGCATTCATTTGTTGACGGGTTAGTAATTTGATGCGACCATTGGAAAGTGGTAGAAACATCGGGAGCTAGGTTCTAGTCAGCGACAAAGGGTTATAGGGAGTGTGACCTTGAGAGCTATATCTTCTTCTAGCTCCTTTCTGTCTCTCTCTTCTTCACACTGCCATAAGATGAGTGTCTCCACACCATCATACTGTAGTAGGAAGCAGCTTGTTTGTTCTTGGCCTCCCAGATCAGAAATAACCACACAAAACCATATTAATTAAATCACTGCTTTGGCCTATTAACGCTAACTTCTTACTGGCTAGCTCTTGCATCTTAATTTAACCCATTTCCATTATTTTATATTTTACCACAAGGCTCGTGGCCTACCAGCAAGGTTCCACCTGGCAGCTCACATCTTTCCTCTCTGTGGGTTCATGGCATTTCTCTGACTCAGCCTTATTTCTTCCAGCATTCAGTTTAGTTTTCCCCACCTAGCTCTACTCTACTAAGCCACTGGCCAAAGCAGTTTCTTTATTCATTAACCGATAAAAGCAACACATATACAGAAGAACTTTCCACATCCTCATACCCTCTTGGTTGTGATGCTCTGACTTGCCTCAGGTCCAGCCAGTCATAGGCTCAAAACATCTAAACTATGTGCCCAAATACATCATTTTCCTTTTTAAATACTTTATCTCAATATCAGTCATAGCGATAAAAAGATAACAAACACAGTGACCCATGCCAATGTACAAAACTCTGAACCTAGCACAGGATCTGTAAAAGCTGCCCAGGTAAATCAGAACCTCTCTCTCTTTGTGCTCTCTCTTTAGTAGCCACAATTGGTAACATGCTTGTCTTCTAGACTTTTTCATTGTGGATATGCTATATGTCTTATAGGCAAAGGCGTTTAAATACAAGCAGGCTCATCCTATATCCACGGTATTGCAACTCTCATTTTCATTAAGAAATCTTTTATGGCCCTGGAGGAGCCAACAGCCCTGGCTCATTCTTCTTAACACATGACAATATTTGTATTTTAATTTTGGGATGATCCAGTTGATTTGCCCTAGTCTCAGCTGATGGGCAGTTGGGTGGACTGGAGCTTTTCCTCCTGCAAACAGCACTCTGGACAGCATCCTCATACAGTTGGATATGGAAATGAAATTTGTGGTGCACAGGATGGTGCATTTAGAATTTTGATCAATATTGCCACATTGCTCTCAAAAAGGGTTGTCTTCATTTACAGGGTTGTTTTTTTTTTTTTTGGTACATATTCAGTAAATGCTGTGGAAATTGTTCCTGACAGTTTATACAATTATTCTTGTGATCCAGCTAGCCACTCTGCTCAGGGCAATTCTACCGCATTCTGGAGGGAGACTTCAGCCTATTTCAGCCCTTGTTGACTTGGGGGCTGGAGGCATCATTTCCCTTGTAGAGGTAATGATATGTATCATGAAGAATAGATCCAGAGACCCAGTGAATATTTGCTACATCTTTTCTCCAATGCCTGGTTATTGAAGAACACACAAAAATACCTATTCACCCCAGATAGGTCCACCCCATCAGTGGACCAAACAGATTCACTGCAGCCCATTTTGGTGGAGTCTCACTGGGTATTTGAGCTACACATCAGGGTAGACACCCGTTTCCAGGAGTGTTTAGGCCAACACAAAAAACTCAATGGTATTTTGGTAGACTTGTTGTCTCATTTTGCTTGCTTGGGCATTTAAAAAATTTCCCCTTCCTTTCCTTTCCCTCCCTCCCTCCTTCCCTCCCTCCCTCCCTCCTTCCTCCCCTCCCCTTCCCCCCCCCCCCCCCCCTCCCCCTCCCCCCCCCCCCCCCCCTCCCCCCCCCCCCCCCCCCCCCCTCCCCCCCCCCCCCCCTCCCTCCCCCCCCCCCCCCCCCCTCCCTCCCCCCCCCCCCCCCCCCCCCCCCTCCCCTCCCCCTCCCTCCCCTCCTCCCCTCCCCTCCCCTCCCCTCCTCCCCTCCCCTCCCCTCCCCTCCCCTCCCCTCCCCTCTCCTTTCTTTCTTTCTTTCTTTCTTTCTTTCTTTCTTTCTTTCTTTCTTCTTGTCTTGTGTATTTTGGTTTCTGTTTTTGTGTGTGTGTGTGTGTTTATGCTTGCTTTGTGTGTATTTCTTTTTTTAAAAGAGGGAAAAAGAGAAAGGGCATGGAGTTGAGTGGGTGGAAAAGTGGGGACGATCTGGGAGGAGTTGGGGGAGAGAAATGTGTGGTCGGAAAATATGGTATGAAAAAACTGTTTTTAAATAAATAAAAAAGAAAGTCAGCTATGAAGTGGAGAGAGGACTCTAGATGGCATTTGAGATGTCGGCCTTGTCCATGTGGGGTAGGGTGGCACTTGTTGGCTTCAGGCAGAAGTTCTGCCTTTCTGAATGTTGTGGTTTGAGAGACCTCTCTCCCAATGGCCTTGTCTCTGGGGCACACTGCCTGCTTTCCTGGCCTGTCATTACTCTATATATAGAAGGAGAGTGTCTTTCAGTTCGCCAACAGTAATCCTTTCCACAGTGCCAGGCAACTAGTGTTAATCCCTCCATCTGAGCCCATGTCCCCTGAGGTCTACGGCTTCCCATTGTACTCCAGAGCAAGGGAGAAAGCAGGTCATGGGAGCGAGTTGGAGATGGGGCAAGCTGACTCTTTAGTCTGAGTCTGACCATTGTTGTGACATGTCCCCTGAAGGCTAATGTGCTAAAAGGCTTGATCTTAGAACAATGTTCAGAGAGGTTCTTGTGAAGTGATTAGATCATGAGGGCTTTGATTTAATCAGTGGATTAATCCATTGCTAGATTTTAAGTTTGTTGGCATTGTTGGGACATGGTGGGAACTATGAGGTAGGACCTACTTGGTAAATAGAGTGGTCACTGGGGCTGTGTCTTATAAAGCATTTTCCTGTCTCTGGCCCCTCTTGCTTCCTGGCTGGTGTGAGGTGAACAGCCCTCCACTCCATGCCGTTCTGTTGTGATGTTTTTGCCTCGAAACAAGGAAACCACGAACAGAAACCTCTCAAACCTTAATCTGAAAATAAGTCTCTCTTCTTTATGAACTGTTTTGCCGAGATGTCTTGTCCAGTAATAAGAGGTGACAGGCACAACTCTGTGACTGAACCTCAGCCTCCCCTTCTGCTGATTGCAGTTTGCCCTTCCCCGGCCTCTGAAGGAAGCGAGGAGGATAACTCAGACACTAATGCCACAGCGAGAGAAACCACAAGCAACAAGAACGCATTCTTAACTGAGGCTGCAGTGAAATACACGAGGAAACATGGGTGAGCACGCCAGAATTCATTTACATGCTTGATTTAAATTAACTTCTGGTCAGTGTGCATTCGGCAACCTTTTCCTGTTGCTACATGTTCCATGCACACCCTGCCATTCAGTTATAAGACCCCATGTAGAGTCATGACCCCTAGTTTATGGAGTTGTTCTATAGGCCATGCTATAGGTATTGTATGCACTGTGTTATATATGCCATATTCTATATACCATGTATGCTACATATGCCATATATGTTATATGCTTTTTGTTCATACTATATACTGTATACATGCTGTACTCTGCGTGCTGTGCACTAGGCTTTATGTAGTATGTGCTTCATGCTGCCAACCATGCTATATACTATGGTACATGCTGTGCCTTATATACTGTAGACTATGCTGCTTGCTACAGACTAGGCTACTAGTCTACTAGATAGAGCATGTGTGAGACACCCTGCTGTCTATCTCTATTCTACAGAATACCATGTATTCTGAGGAAAGTCCTCTGCTTCTGGAGGTAGGGGGAGCTCGGGTGGGGGAGGGGAAGGAAAGGCTTTTTTTGGATGGCAGTAGGGTTATTAGAAAATACCATCTATCTGCTCATTGTATCCCATGTATAGCATCAATATCCTTCAGTATACTTTCATTGAGCACCTAGTGGCTGAGTATCCAATGTCTGTCTGTAGTTTGGCCTGAGTCCTAGAGTAAGAGACAGGGATGGGAGGCAAATCATAACCAAGGCTTTCTGAACAGCTTGGCGGGGGGGGGGGAAGAGGGGGGCGTTATTGCTATGACAAACACCATGATGAAGGCAATCATTATGAAAGTATTTATTTGGGCTTTCAGTTTCATTGGTTGTTGCCTCTTAGGAGCAAGACATCCCTTAGGCCTTTTCTTTCCACAAGCTGGACTCTTAGCAGGTGGGGTCTTGACTTGAGGGCACCCTTCCTTTATGTGGGCCACACCTTTTTAATCTTCTTATCTCCGCACAAGCCTTGGCTCTAGCATTGAACTTCCTGGGGCCCCTTTTCTCCTCAAGCTGTCCATTTTGTATTTCTTTTTCCCCCCACTTGCTCTTTTCCATTGTAGACCCACATCCGCGGAACCACTAATAATCACACAACCAATTCAACATTAGGCTGTCTTAAAATCTCCTCCACCAAAGAGATTGGTCCATTAATTTTCAATTTAGACTCCAGAAAATTCTTAGGACAAGGGCAGAGAGCCACAGTCTTTGCCAAGACATCACAAGAATGGTTTCTAGTCCGGTTGCTAATGTTGTTTCCCTCAAGACCCTTTGAACTGGACCTCCAGAGTCCACACTGCTCCCAGCATGACTGCCTTCCAAGCTCCTACTAGGGTGGCCATTTGAGTTCTACACACAATATTCAACCACTTTCCTAGTCCAAATCGCCAAAGTCTGGCTTTCACATTTTTCCGAAAACCCCACACGGTCGGGTCTGTCACAGCAACAGCCCACTCCTTGGTACCAACTTCTTTGTTTCTTTTCTATGGCTATGACAAAACACGATGGCCAGGACAACATATAAAAGAAAGCATTTGGTTGGATTTATGGTGCCAAAGTATTAGCATCCATTGAGTAATAACTTTTGAGCTATGGGGCTTCTGACTCAGGCTCTCTCTGGGGCCTGGAGTGCTGGCCCAGACCCTGCAGTGGAGGAGGAGCCTGGTCCCTAAGTCCTGTGTTTTGGCTTTAAGTATAAAGTGAAGATAGGGATTGCATGCCCAGGCAGCTGGCCTTCATCCAGGCCTTGGATATTTGAGAGGAATGAGGTGGCTTATTCTCTTCTTCAATTTAGGCTGGGCCATTTTGTTCTTCTCTCAACTCCATTCATAAAATGGCATAGGTTTTCACATATGCTACGCACATGGGTGCATGCAGGACTCTAAGAAGACAATTTAGCAAATGTATGAACCAGGCCTTTGCTTAGGCCTATCATGAGGAGTGAGAACCCTTGTGGTTTGAATGTTGGCGTCAACACCTTTAAAGTATTGGTTGAGCTTTGAACCCAGGGGTAAAAGGTTTGTGTGGAATTCAAATACAGGATTTCAAACCCCTGAGCTCTTCCCGAGCATCTCAGGGGCTGTAATAAGGGCCAAGCATCTTTGATGGAAAATGCTCGCATTTTACAGTGTGAGCACAAATTGGATCATAATTAATGATTTTGATATATAGTCCTCCTCACCTTGGTAGGATAATAGTCTGTCTATCAACATATCTGAGGCCTTGAATTCTTTAGAGGCCGGCAGTTGCCTCTTCGCGCAGATGAACATATACTTGATTGAAAGATCAGTCTCAGAGCGAACCATCTGGAGCATGCTGCTTCTCTCTCTTCCTTTCACCTTCTTTTCTGGGCTAGTTTTACAGATTTTGAAACATAACGGCTTCCCATAGCTTCTAGAATGTTGCTGTACATGCTGGAGTGCCTGGTACTGAGGAGAAAACCAAGCTGCCTGACCTGTTTCCAGTGTGCTCACCCAACATTCCTTATTCTTGCTCTTATCTGCCTCCATATCTCCTTTTTTTTTTTTAATTTTTTTGCTTCCTTCTTTACTTTTGATTTAATCTATCAAGGTGAAGACATCTGCACTGATGGGTAACTTAGGGTATTAGGAACAAGTCCCATCTGTTGTTGAAGCATCTAGAAGATTCTGTTTCATTTAGCAAATGTTTAAAGAGTGTCTGCTGTGGTCAGCACCAGAAGGGGAAACACCAATAAGGGTGGTTCCTTTGTTCTAGGAGCTACTGAGCCTAGCTTCATTTCCCATCCTCCCGCATCTTATGCCTGTGTGGTCCACGGTCTCTCCTTACACTGACACATCCCAAGTAATTTCTCCATTTCCAGGATGCGCACACATGCTCCTTCCCTGCCTTCCACTGATTGGGCCAAGTACACACACCTGTGAGGATGGATTTCCATCTAGACAGATGTGAGACAGAACAGAGGCATCCCCTAAAGGTTCCCGGATGACAGTAGCTGCTGAGTATTGTTCTCAGCCCAGGGGCAGGGCCACCATGCCAACCCACTCTGGAAGGGAGGGCCCCATAATGGTCTATGGAGAAAAATACCACGGGGATTGGAAAAAGCACGGCAGGTCTCTTTCCAAAGAAAACATTGGTTTCCTCCAGCTATGGGAGGTCTCGAAATCATCCTTTGGCGGCTCAGACAGGCAGGAGAATGCTTTTTTTGAGGTGGGGTCCTGTTCAGGAGAAGCCCCAGGGAAAGGATCTGTCACTCAGATCCATGAGTAGGTAGAATCAAAATGATCAACTTTGCCACGCGGGATTTGAACCTTCCTGAGAGGTTAGTCCCCTGAGCTTCCGGCTGGTGTCCTGACTGAGGCCAGCCCCCAGGATGATGTCAAGGGCCGTGCCTGTGAGCCGGAGCCAGACTTCTCGTTCTTGTGTGAAATCAGGCCCTTCCTTTAGGAGGCCCTGCGGGTCCCTGGGTTGGTTCCTCTGCTACAGATCATTTTGGGAGATTTCTCAGGTGTGGAGAGATGGGCTGAGAGTGGACTCTTGGTCCCCTTTGGCACAAGGCCACCCCCCGGGGCTTCAGGGAGAGGTATCCGCTGAGGGAATTGCTCACTTCTCACCGCGTGGGGTGTGTGACAGGCTAGCGAAGAAGCAGACGGCGGGGGCGGGCGCCGGCAGGCAGGGTGGGATGGCGAGCTCTGCTGCTGTCTGGCGGCTGTGACAGCGGGTACCTGCCTGCCGGCCTCCGCCCGCGCCGCCGCCCAGCCTGCGCTGACAGGCTGCCTGTTAATTGGGGAGGCACAGAGGAAATCACGGCTGAGATTTGCTGGGGCTCAGCGCCCTGTGTGATGCTCTCACACCCTTAATCAGAGAGAGGACTGTGCGGACCCATAGGCCTGTCACTGGCCTAAGAGCTACAAGCAAGGTTGGGCTGTAGGAGTTCCTTGTTTGGCTAAAAAAAAAAAAAAAAAAAAAAAAAAAAAAAAAAACTCTCAACAAAAGAAAGGAGGAAGGAAGCTGCCTGTAGTAGGGCTTTGGAAGCGGGGTGTGGAGGTGGGGGTGTTGGGAAGTTGGGGTAGGGTGAGGAGGGTGGGGAGGGGGAGTACAGATAGAGGAGTAAATTGGGGCCTCCAGAAGATGCCATTTGCATAAATGCATAAATGACCAAAGTGGACAGGAACCAGACCATAGGCCTTTCCAGGCCCCCCCTCCTGCCCCCCTCTCCCCGTGTGGGAAGTGGATCCCTCACCAGTGTGGGTGATTGCCACCAGGAATCCAGGGGCCTGTAGATGCTGTCTCCCCCAGGGGGTAGGAGCAGGGTCCACCAAGAGTGGTGCTCTGTGGTCTAGCTTACACACAGCACACACTTGCACAGTAGGGGGTCACAGAGCAGCTATGATGGCCCCACTTCCTCACCGGTGGCTGGAGGGGGTGGAGGCTATGAGAAGGCCTTACTGAGAGTCACACTCTAGCTAGAGGCAGGGTTGGTGCACCTCCAGTTTTAAACCGGGGGTTTAGAGTGACTTCGGGGATTCTTGGATGTCTTTTCACGTCTTTCCCAGCTACTACCCTTTCTGGCCAGCAGATATGACTGAAACCAGAGTCTTAGAGATCTACCCGCTGCCATTCAGGCTTAGCTCACTATCAGGCAGCAAAGTTTCCCCGGGGAAGCTTATATGCTAAGTCCAGCGGGTAATTTCTCTCAGAGAAGAATGAGGGAGGTAAGGATTGTACATACCTCGGGCTGGGGTGCTTGTGGTGGGAGGACACATCTGGTCACTGAGGGCACAGGAACAGAGGCCAAGAGCTCGGCAATGCAAGCCCAAGATCAGTCCCCCTCTCCCCCCCAACTAATTCTGCCGCCTTTTGAAGTTGGCCCCCATTAGATGCAGACTTTAGGTGTCCCCATCGCACCTGTGGGCAAGTGGGGGTCCATGGCTAGCCATGGGGCTCCCACGCGGGCACGGGCAGCTCCTGCAGCTGACATTCTCCTGGAGTCTGACAGAATGGGACC